CAATATTAAAAAATTTTGTAATATTTTGTTATTTAGGGCAAATTAAATTACCCATTTCAAATTAATTTTCCTTCAAAAGAATGACCTTTAATTTTCCAGTTCCCCTTTTTTATTGACTATAAGAAGCTAATTTAATCTCTAAATCTCCTTAAAATCTCTATAGACCATTAGCCCCCATTTGAGTAAAAATCCAGAGCACTTCACATTCGTTTCCTTGGCATCCTTTGATGTTTGCTTTGGTTGTTGGAAAATATGTCGAATATTTTCACAGGCGGAGGCATCACAAATACAAATACACCCATATGGCAAACAGACGAAGAACAGAACTTTTTTTTTCGCATGTGTGAGTATTTGCATGCAAATTGTTTGCCTTTTAAAATATGCACAAATATCAAATTTTCCCCTTTGCGAAAAAATCTCCGAGCTGAAGAAAAGAAAAGCTTTAAAATCGGGAAATGCTATTTAGGCTTTCCCCAACAAATACCTTTTGTATCCCTAAACCCTGCAAAGGGACCACCTGCCATTTCAAAACTATGACCGCAATCAAAGGCCATTGATCTCTGCAATTTTTGCACGGCCTAATCATTAACAACAATTGCCGCAATTTGCCACATGATGACACAGGGCGATTATCATCGGCGATTATATCATCGTATAACAAACATGAAAATTTTCATAATTTTCTAGATGAGCCAAAAAAAAACAGACATTCCAACCAGCGAATGCAAATAGGCGTAAAGCCCAGCCGAAATAAAACTAAAAACCCCCTCGGGAGGGTGAAACAAGTTGCCAGGGTTTTCAGGATTTCCAGGATTCTGATTCCGAATCTGCTGCCCAGTCGCGCATTTAATTCAATTTGTTAATTTACAAATCCGCAAAACTATTTGCCAGCGAGGGAGTCTGTCTGCTCTGCGGTTTTGCGGGGCGGAGGGGAGTGATTTGGAGGCGATAACGGCAACTTGTTATTACTATATGTGCACTGAGAAAAATACTAGAAGCCTTTGCATTTTTTTTAAATTTATGTAAGAAGCTTAGAGTATTAAAAAAATTAAAATTAATTAATTAAAAATATATTAAATACATTTTTTATTGTGAAAGTAATTTAAATTCTCATTTAAATCATTTAGAAAACACAAGTGTTAAGCCAAACAATATTCTTTAAAATTTAATAAAAATTATTTATTAAAATAAAAAGTATTTTAATTGTCATCAGCGACTTACACTCAGAAAATTTAAATAATATATATTTTTAACAATTTTACCTTCTATAAATAAATAAAAACAATCGTACAATTTATAGATACAGAAACGTAATAGCACACTTTCCATATGGTTGCAAAAACACAGCTCCTTTTTTCTTAGTGCACTTACATCACATTTGGTAGTCGAAAAGTTCTCATATTTCAATAATTGTGATACTTTTCGTCTGATTTCAGTTTATTTTATTTTTATAGAGAGCGAGACTGCCGGGGCAACAATAAAATCAATTGAAATGTGTTGGCAAACATGTCAAAATAAATTATAGAGAGCATGTCCGTGTGGTTGGTTGAGTGTGGTGCAAAGTGCGAAGTGGTTTGGATTGGGTTTCGGTGGGATGGGTTTCGGTGTGGGTTGTTTGCCCGTCGGTGGTGTTTGCACGGGGTGTTATGCAAGTGTGGCAACCGCAGAAACCGAATTTTAATTTGCACGCTTGCAAGCGTTTTAAAACATTTGAAATATTCGAAACTGGTCGAGGGACCAGGACCGGAACCCTTCGGGATCTAAGCGGCTTACAAAGGATCTTTTTCCGACCAGGAGCAGGAAATCAGCGGAACCCACCCCCCAAAAGCATTCACAAAAGGCCAAAAGGGATTGCGCAACGCGAACGCCTATTTACAGGGTATAATTAAGTTAAGTCTTCGGCTGAACAGGAAAAAAAGAACAAAAGTCGAGAGTCGACGTCACTCGAGTGTTGAGGGACGGGTTGTGGGTGGGTCGAAAATCGGGGGAAGTGGGAGGATGTGTCGCAAGGGGCGGGGTTAGCTTCAAAGGACACACTTCAATTCAGAGGCTGCCTAATCCATGAAAGCCTTTCTTAAAAAGCCATTGGAATATGACATTATTTATTATTATTAATTTTACATACAATAGATATAATTACAAAGTTATAAGAATAAAGCACTTACCTATTTAGCATAATTGACGTTTTAAGCAACTATTTCCAATTGAGTCTAAGTTAAAATATCACAAAACAAGAAAGGAAGCTAGCTTAAGCCAGCCGAAGCTTATATACCCTTGCAGATCATTCCTATTAATTAACAAATCGCAAAAATGTTAATTTTCTAATATTTCTCATTAATTTTCCGATCGTTCCTATGGCAGCTATATGATATAGTCGTCCGATTTTGATCAAATTAAAATTGAAATTCGGAAATATTTAAAAAGAGTCATATCCTAGAGTAGAAGATAATACAATAAAAACCAAAGAAGCTAGAATTTATTTCCTATTACTTTTCCATTAATTTTCCGATCGTTCCTATGGCAGCTATATGATATAGTAGTCCGATTTTTTAAATAATTAATTCGAAATTCAGAAATATTTAAAAAATAACATCCCCAAAAGTAGAAGGTAATATTTCAAAAAACACCGAAGCTAGAATTTTTTAAAGTTTTTTTCTTCCGATCCTTCCTATGGGAGCTATAAGATATAGTTGTCCGATCCGGTCGGCTCCGACATATATACTACCTGCAATAGAAAGAAGACTTTTGCGAAAGTTTCGTCCCGATAGCTCAAAAACTGAGAGACTAGTTTGCGTAGAAACAGACAGACGGACAGACGGACAGACGGACAGACGGACAGACGGACAGACGGACAGACAGACAGACGGACAGACGGACGGACAGACGGACAGACGGACATGGCTAGATCGACTCGTCTTGTGATGCTGATCAAGAATATATATACTTTATGGGGTCGGAAACGTCTCCTTCACTGCGTTGCAAACTTCTGACTGAAATCATAATACCCTCTGCAAGGGTATAAAAATTAGACAGTTATTCGCTGTTCCAAAAATTATTGTAAGGTTTTAGGACAAATAAAAAATTTTCTTCTGACTTTTTTTGGTATTTTTACTTTTTAAAATAAATTAAAAATTCATTAAGTCCAAGTAACGAAAATTTTTTAGGTCCAAACTAAGAGACCCCCAAAGTTGATATACCTACCAGGCCTGGGAACCGATCATTTTCTCAATATTCTCATTTTCACACACATTTTCACGCTGATTCACGCCCACAAGAAGTGCCCCTCTATTAGAGTGGACCGACTCCGTTAGATTGACTTGATCTGCTCACCTATTTTTCCCAGGCCCAAAGCCAAAGCTACACCTTCCCATTCCAAAAATCAAGTTGCAGTTTCGACACCTTGCGGCTAAAGTTGAGTTCGAAATGGATCTTTCGTTTGGCTTGCGGTCTTTGGGGATCTTGGGGATCTTCGGGATCCATAAATCAAGACGGCGAAAGATCATTAAAAGAGAATCTCTGCTATCATAATAAAGAAATCACACGAGAAAACAAACGGAGAAGACAGAGAAGAGATCTCTTTTGATTTGATCGCTCAATCAAAATGATAAATGAAAATTAATATTTCTTAATATTGTTTACAAAAGTGAGAATTTTGGGATATATTTTCTCCAAGAGCTTTTTATACCCTTGTAGAGGGTATTATAATTTCAGTCAGATGTTTGCAACGCAGTGAAGGAGACGTTTCCGACCACATAAAGTATATATATTCTTGATCAGCACCAATAGCCGAGTCTATCTAGCCATGTCCGTCTGTCCGTCTGTCCGTCTGTCCGTTTCTATGCGAACTAGTCTCTCAGTTTTAAAGCTATCGCGATGAAACTTTCCCGAAGGTCTTCTTTCTATTGCAGGTAGTACATATGTCGGAGCCAGCCGGATCGGACCACTATATCTTAAGGCTCCCAAACAAATATAAGAAAATTCATTGTAACTTTGTAGGAAGTAGGCGTTTTAATTCTTGACTACTTAAAAACAAAATTGAAATAAATCGAAACGCTGAATCTGGAATCCCTGGAACTGCACCGAGTGAGTATTCTTTTATCTACAAGGGTATATAAGCTTCGGCTGGTCGAAGGTAGCTTTCTTTCTTGTTATTTCATGTCTTTTTCGTTTTATTGTGGGTACAGTAAAAGGCGGTGCTGTGCAGAGTAATATAACCATCTATTTTTCACTGCTTCTCGGTCATTGTTTGATAAGAATTATTGCAACATATCAATCACGAGGTTAAGTGGGATCTGTGAAATGTGAGGGAACATGCATCAAGCAGCACGCAAACATTAACCGGGAACAACAGAAAATGGTCAGAAAAATACACACAAACCTAAACCAGGCCTAAAAACAACAGCGGAAAGTTGCGGCCACCGACATTCATCAACATCAACATCAAAAACAAACAGCAAAAGGCGCGAGGCCCAAAACAAGAGTTACCCCGCGCAGTCGTCTCTATAGAGAGGGTTCCATTCCCCAAACCCTCGACCATCCCAATCCCATTTCGGGTCGATTTATAGTTGAGACGTCTCGAGCTGCTCGTTGCTTTTTGGCGGTTGTCGCGGTTTCTCTGGGCCCCGGAATTATTATCCCGCACTTTAGGCGATTAATTGACTTTATGACTTTGTAAGGGAAGGGGGATTGGCTTTATAGAACGACCATATTACAGCGCCTGTGAGCCAATGGGGTTCCAATTAGAGAACGTTTCGTTTGCCGACAAGGCAGCTGAGAAAAGACTTTCCCAGGCTCCAAAAAAATTGCTTAGATAATTTTTAAAATTTTTATAAATTTAATTGCTATTTCTTAAGGCTTAGTAACAAGTATTTTCACAATCAACAAGTGATTTAAATACGTTATCTTTGTTTAAGATACATCCCTCATATGAGAATTTCCAGCAAACTTGGAATCTGTAGATCCAAACTATACGAGTTTCTCCTCCGCACTTTCCATCAATGGGTCCTGGGGCCTTACACTGCCCTGAAATATAAAATAATTTGTATACACAATTAAATAACAATGAAATATATCTATTGGAAATAAAGCGCACATTTACTATGGCCATTAACCGAAAGATTTAGTATAGCCAGCAGAAACACCAAAAACAACACTTTTAACACCATTGTAATCCTCTTCTAGTTTCAGACAACTATTAAAATATAAAGCTGGTTGATTTTGTTTATAAAGCGTTGTTTTTCATTTACACTTGTCATGGTTAAATATAATCAAAATATTAGACTTAGGTTAATTTAAACAATAATAAAACTTAAAAAATAATTCATTTATGTTATGAATATATTTTGTATATTATTTTGTGGCTTACTTGGTAATTTTTTAGAGGCAAGTCTTCTCACATTCGGCTCGTGTCTTATATACGTTTTCTTTATTCCTTATACATCCCCTATATGTGAATGGCCAGCACTTTGGATTTACAAATGTCCACGCCATTCCATTTCTACCTCTGCACTTGCCATCCTGGGGACCTGGAGCACTACATTTCTCTGAATTAAACAAATTATAAAAAAAAATAAAAATAACTATTTAATATTAAATACTTTTATTAAAGGCAATAACCGAGGGATTAAGAATAGCTAGCAGGAACACTAGGAAAAACACTTTTAGTTCCATTGTAATCGTCTTAAAAGTTCACACAGTTATTAAAATGTTAACTTGGTTAATTCTGTTTATATACCTTTAAATAAATAAAATTCATACCTGATTAAAGTAGAGCAAATTAATTTCAAGGATTTTAAGAAATATTTAATATTAACTATAAACTAAAATTTAATAGTGATTTCTTTCCTGCTCGAACTGTTTACCGATGAACTCATTGATTTGCAGCAAATCGTGTGACTAACCCTATAATGCCTCCATTATTTCCGTTAACATCTCTATCTCTCTCTTGAGAAGCCCAAAAAAGCGATGCCACTTCAGAGTAATCCCATTTCAGAGGGACCGCCATCGAATTCCGGTCCGTTTGGCCAGTCGAGCGAAAGAAAGGCTGACTTTAAGCAAATTAGCAATTCAACAAAAGTGTCGCCGCTCCCTTTAACCCTTGTGTGCCGTGCCTTAACCCCCGACTGGCCTAATCGTGGCACGTGCTTCGACATATTTAATCACAGGGCTGTGTCTCTTTTCCGAACAAAAACCAAACAAAAAAGGGGCCAAAGCTGTAGCACCACACATAAAGATAATCCAATCTTATGCTGCTAATTTTACAGCATCCCGAAAATGAAATAAAATCAAATCTCGTGTGTGGACGAGCGTGTGCAAATGTGGTTAGGGGTTGAGGTTTATTCTTGGCAGTGAGGAAAAGTGAGGAGAGGGTACCGAAAACCCAGATGAACTCAAAACTGAAAACCACTGCCAGCTTTGCGAAAAACTTTTGCCCAAAAGAAAACCCTCAGACAAATAAATTCGATTATGTTACACTTGGGGAAAAAGTTACATTAGAAAAACAGATTATTACTATTTACCTTTTCAAATATTAAAGCGTTATGAAACTTAACATATAATATATATTTTGTTGTTCAGATCACCTTAAGCAATTCTTCTCGCATTGGGCTAGTGAGTTAAATAGATTTTTTCTATTTAGTAGACATCCCTGATAATAAAATTGCCAGCATACTCCCATGTTATATGTCCACCCTATACGAATTCTTTTTCCGCACCGTTGATCAATGGGGAGTGGAGCATTGCACTTTTCTGCATAAAACAAAATAGATTCCAAATTAAATAAAAAGTACCTATTATTACAACATTAAATACTTTTATTATAGCCATCAACCGAATGATTTAGTATAACTAGCACAACCACCAATACAAACACTTTTAGTTTCATTGCGATCCTCTTCAAGATTAAGAGGAAGATATTGGAACAAAACACTTGTTGGTTCTTTTTATAAAGCATTTTTAACATTTTTTGTATACCTGATTAGGGCGAAGCCAATTGATTTATTTTTTATTCTAAGGGCTATTTAAGTCTTCAACTTTTAGTGTTACCGTATAACAAATTTTTAAGCTAAAAAAAAATATTAAAATATGAATTGTAAATATTTTTATTTTTTAAGATTTATAAACCACTTAAAGTCATTTTTTTTCGGTGCCGGTTCCCTCATTTTTCCGTCTCTCCCCCCGCTGAGACGAGGGCTGTTGGCAATCGTCGGTGGGCGTGGCATTTTTATTTTTTCAGCTTTATTTTCTGGCCCTACTGCTGTGTGTTGTTTGTTTGGCCAAAGTTTCGAGCCAGCGAGATGCCTAATTCGTTTACCAAATCCACTTTACATAGTTGAGCGAGTCGCAGGCACAAAATATGAAAATTCAATAAACTAGGCGAGTCCTGAAGGACTCCCGCTGGTCCTGCCACTTGAGGCTTAATTGTGCGTCGCTCCACCTGCCGTGGAAAATGGCACGTGCAACATGAGGGGGGAAAAGCCAGGAAAAGCCAGTGAAAAGGGGGTGAAACACGAGCCACACGCACGAACTGCATTCGCAAGTGGGCGTGCATAATTTATGCTAATTCGCCTGAGAAACGCAACCAAAAATAATAAAAATATTTATGTATAAATAGAGCAGCAGCAGCAACAGAAGCAAAGGAAAAACATAAACTTTAAGATCAAACTGATTTATGTAAACTTTTTTTTATTTTAATGCACATTATCATTGTAATAAGCCCAATTCCCAAGGTAAAGGTTTTCGGATTCTGTTCGGAGTGGAAAACAAAGGCAGTGAACCTCATTACTTCTTCGGCATTAAATTAACAAACTTATAACTTTAGTGGTGCTAAGTTCCTTAATTAATTGCTTAAGCTTGCTTGGCTAATTGTGTTGCAAATCAATCAATGTCGGATTAAAAAATGCATTTCTTTACGTAATTTAGATTTTTCTAATTGAATTAATTAAAAAATCTTAAATTAATAATGCAACAAACATAACAATTTAAATGAAAATGGTTTTGCCATTAAATACTTTAGGAATATAATATATGGCTATTGTGGAAATGTTTTTAAATTTATAAAAAATTATCAAATACTTTTCAACATTGATTATTAAATTATCATATTTCATATTATTTTTACAGACTCATTTATAATAGTAAATACAAATTTTATTTTTAAAATAAATATTCATATCAATGAGCTTACTTTAGATTTTAAATGGATATATAATACTGCCACGAGATTCACCATATCCGAAAATTCTAACCCCTCCCAGTGACCTGTTTTAACCCCTTGAAGACCCTCAACAAATGACACTCTCTAATGACCCGCCACACATGGAAAGACTTTCCGCTTCACGCTCTGTCAATTGGCTAGGCGACATAATTATCAGCAGTCCTCGGAATTAAAAAATAGGAAAATGATGATTGAAGCTAATTTCAGTTAGGTGCTAGGCACCACTACAATTAAAAGATCATTTCTGAGTGCGGGCTGTCGATTCGTTGACCTTCATTGACGCCTATAATAACTTCATTACAAGTTGCCTTTTTATATTTTTTCAGTTTATTTTTTAATTGCACACAACTGAAATGTTTGAAATTTTGTAACCAACCCGCATTTTTTATTTTTTTTGAGTGACATTTCTGTGAAAGAAAATGTCTTGTTAAATTTTTTATGAATATTTCCTGACGCAGCTCCTCTGCTTTTTGTCATTATTCACACTGCAGTGATTCCACAGCAAGATAGACATTTTTCTACTGGCAAAAAAAGGAAAAAAATGAAAATAAAATACCCAAAGGACATTGAAGCTGGGTAAAAAACTTGGCCGCTTTGTAGAAAATTCATAAAACTTCCGCTTGGAAAATCTAAGAGGGGGTGGAGTGGGGGGTTTTTTGTAGGCCCGGGTCAGCAAACAAGAAAATGGCGCATTTTAAAGTGAACGGAAGCAAAAGGAAACGACTAAGAAAAGCGAGCAAAAACAAAGTCCAAGGAAATTTTCCGTGTCAAGAAATTTTCCTTCTACTTACTTGAAGCTGCTTTGCCGCCATTTTCTCTTACTGGGGGTTGCGATTTCCCGAGCTTTTCCCTCCCCCATTTTCTCTGCGTTTTTTTTGTTCGCACTGCGGGGGTGGCTCGCAAGCGAAAATAAACAAAAATCAAAGTTGCAAATAAGAAGAAACTACAAAGTAAGTTAGCATAAAAAAAGTTTAGCGGCGCCTTGTTTTTCGGAAGTTTCAACATCTCCGGAGGAAAAAGGGAAAAGGGGGTGGTGGCCTCCCTCCCCCTGTCTTCACACACACCCACACAGAGATAGACAGTTACAGATACTGGGACAAAAGATTCCGTCGAGCACTTTTCGTGCAACAAAAGCCGGAAACAGCCGGCAAAAAGAAGCTAAGGGAAAAACTCAGTCAACATCCTCTCAAGTGCTTCCTTTCCTTCGCTCCTCCGGCTGCCTTCCACTCGGGGATTTCGGTGCTCCAAGTCCCTGCACTCGAAAAAAATACTCTAGGAAGCCAAAGGTTGAGCTTACAGATTTAAAGACATTTTTATCTAAAGCTTTAATATTTTATAGGGGGGAAAATGCTGAAAAAGTATATATCAACATCACTTTTTCGTAAACTCTGCTTTTCTATACCTTTTTAAAGATATCTTTAAAATACAAAATAATAATAAAATAATAATACATAATAAATTTATTCTTTGGTGGATTGAGATGAATTTTAAAAATTTTTAAATTAAACATTTGTATATACCACATAAATTTAAAAGTCGATGTCTAAAAATGCTTCAAAGTATTCTTTTTAGTATTTGGCATTAAAATGAAAAAAGGAAATAAATTATATAAAAAATAAATTCCAATAAATCTTTTGTTACAAATGTATAAAAAGTTTAACTTAATAATAAGTATTTGTAATCAATATTTATCTTTTATAAATGAAATTATATGAAATGAAAATAGAGTCTAATAATGTTCTTCAGTTTTCCTTTCCAAAATATTGGAAACAAATATTAAAAGAACGAAAAATGCGTAGATAAGCTCTGAAACCTGAGTTTATGAAATGGCAATTTAAAGGAACTTACAAAAATCTCTTTAAAATTTTTTTTTTATTTAAGGCAGTATTATATTGATTTGAAAAGGAAATTTTTCCGTAGTGTGCTCCTTGTCAGCATGCAGCCAGCGATGTGGCCGCTCAGCCAAGCGCAAGGACGCTCCCGAGGTGGAAAAGAACGAGAGTTGGATGACACGGACGAGGATGTGGACGTGGACGAGAAGGACGACAGCGATGCTCCCTCACCTTGCTCATGCTGATCACGTCTATTTATTGTGCACATAATATGGGAGCAGCTCAGCTCGGCTTCGAGCTTCCTCCTCTTAATCCTCCTGCTCCTTGGACGACTCCTCCTTTCCTTCTGCTCCTCCGGCTACGTGCGACGCATGCATCGCTGGACACGCTTTGGGGTCCTTCGTGGCCATCCACCCACCCACTTTTTCCTTTGGACACTTTTTTTCTTCCTATTTCTATATTCTCCGCCGGGGAAAATTCAATTATCGAATGCGAATTTTTCTCCTCGCTTTTATTTCTTTTTATTCCTGTATTTTTCTTTTTTCCGTTTCCGCTTCGAATGTTTTTTTGTTTCAGCCGAAAGCATCCCAAGACGAACTTTCAGCGTATCAGCATTTATTTGCTGTTGATTTATGCAGCGAACACCCCCAACCCCCTTTGGCCTCCTCCTATGCCACCACCCCCATATTTTCAGCCCCCTTTGGGCTGCTCGCTCAGTCAAACAATCGACATTCGCATCCACATCCCAAGCGCTGTTGAATATTTGCCAAGTATGCTGATTGAATTTTTTCCAGTTGACTAAATGATATCAAGGATATTTGCCAGGCAAGCAAGGCGACTGTTTTTGCTCCTGCCAGCAGGTTGTGCCTCTTTAAGCCTATGAATTTTATGATTTACCCGGGATTTTCAGGAGTCTTCAAAACTCTGATTACATATAACCAAGGGGCAAGTTTTTGTTTAAGAATTGCCTAATTTAAGGAAAGGGTTTTTGCAAATAAAAGGGATTAAATAAATACATGCCTGAGGGACTAAGATATTCATAACAATGTAGCTATAATTCTCAATGCTAATTAGATTTTGCTTAAGGGCCTTTTGGTTGGCACGTAAATATTGCATAATTTATGGTACAAAGAAAAAATATTGGGATATAAAGTGCTCAATAGCTAAATAAATACTCTGAACTCATGGGATATATATTTTTTGAAATATTTAAAAAAAATTAAAATAAAACTTTTAATTAGTTAAATAAAATAGAAATAAAAATCTGTAATTAGCTTAAAAAATTTAAATTTATTTATATTATTTTATATTTAATTTGTAATATTTTAGAATTATTATTTCGAGTTATGCACAAAAATGTTTCTAAAGAAGTCATGTTTAGTTAATATTATAATCACTATGGACGGCAGTCCATGTAGTGACGAAGCGCACCAGGAGAGTGTGCGAAGGCGACTACTATTATATAGCCGCAAAATTGAAAATCTGCTGTGATAGTCCGATCGTAATGAGTAATACACCAATCGAAAGGTATTGCAAAAACTTAAAGGATTGCATACCAAGACTTTAAGAAAATCAATTGGCTTGGGAGAGAGACGGTGAAAGTGAAAAAGTGAAAATTACGAAATTTGGAGCTGTTGGGGCCGGTGGGGATAAATGCCCCCTCGCAATGTTTTAGTTGTATTCCTTTTGAAAATACCCGTCGAATGAGGGGTCATTTGTCAAAATCCGACGCTCCGTTCAAAAGTTATAGCCAAAATAAGATTTCCTTCTTCTTCCCAAAATGAAAATTTAATTCTGTTTGTCAGTTTGTCAGTTTGTCCAAAACATGTTTCTTAAGTTTTGAAAATTT